ATATAGTGTGTTTGGGATACATTCTTTTGAAAGAATGTATTCTTGAATAGTAGATTGATGGAGAATGTGTGGTTAAAAATGAAGGAAAAGTTATTGATGTGATGGAAAATATTATTTTATTGAAGAATATGTAGTTGAAAATGAGAATTGATTTACTGTTGAAAATGAGAATTTTTCCCAAACATAGCATTAATGCCAATGCCCCCCAAGAGATCTCTACTTTTTAAAATTCATTTATCTCAAACTTATTTTCAATCACATTTTCTCTTATAAAATAATTCTAAACTTGAATTCATGACTTTTTCATATTTCTAACCATAAGTTTTTCAAACAAACCACTTTTCACAAAATCTCTTTTAAAAAAATTATACCAAACAATATTGTTTATACTTGCTGCCTATGTCCCCAAACCCTAAAAAAAGTACTTTGATTTGAGAGTGAGATTCGAAAGTCCTACGAGTGTACGACTTGAGAGATTTGGAACCATATCGATTGGAAGACTCTAGAACCCATCATGACAAGTTTAATGACTTGTACACTCACTTGCAAGTCTAATGAAATTTTTTGCTAACTTAGAAAGTTAGGAAATAGTCCAGTTTGTATGATATTATTCACTTTGGCCTAGTCAACACGATTTTATGTTCGTCCAAAACGTCTCATATCGATTGGTTTAGTTATTTCAATACAATACATTTTCATTTTCCAGGCGATGTACGATTGTGGATGTTACATCGCCCCACTATAGGGGCAAAATGTCCTCATTGGCCATATTTTTATCTAGATTTAAGCTTTGATAATATTTGTAGAATCCCAGTTTACTTGGAGTGTGTCTGAGCCACATTATTTTGGAAGAATGTATTTTCGAATAGTAGATTAATAGAGAATTTGTAGTTCAAAAAGAAGAAAAAGTTATTGATGTGATGCAAAATATTATTTTATTGAAGAATGTGTGGTTAAAAATGAGTAGAAGAATTAGAATGAAAATTTTAATATAGATCAAACAGGGGCTTGGTATGATATCGTCCATTTGGGCCTAGTCCCCACAATTTTGCTCTCTGTCTTTCAAAAATAATGCCTCCTACCAATTAAGAATGGTAATTTCACTTATAAATCAATTCTGTTTTCTATCCTCAGGCAAAGTGTGATTGTGGGGTGTTGTGAATTAGGTTCCATTACAAATTTATAAGCCAATGATAAAAATTTAGCAACAATGCAGAGAATATCGACAAATTCATAAGAAAAATCAAGTAGAAGTAGACTTCCAAAGAAAAAGTGGATGAACATATAAAGAAATTACCCGAGTCCAATCATTTTCTCTTTCCTTGCTCCAACATCATTCTCAAGGGTAAATGGCGAAATGTGACTGTTTTCAATGGCCAAGGCTCGCGAGAAAGATAAAAACACCAAAATCAAATGCCAATCCCATTGAATCTTCAGCTACTCCCCTGAAATTGCATTCCATGCACAAAATGCCAAGATTTAAATGTTTGGTCCAAACTCGTAGGATCGGAAAAGGTTTGGGACCAGTTACGCCAATTCCAATATTGTTATATAATTTCTACTTTTAACTCACTCAATTTATTCTCTGGGCACAAAAATACTAGAATTTGTTGGAAAACAAAATGATTGAGGAATTGAGAGTGTCATTACATAAATTATAATAAAAGATATAAAAAATGTGACAAGTTCCTCGCTTTCCTCATGTAAAAAGAATCTTCCATCAAGAAAAGGAATAAATTACTTTGATCGAAAATATGAGTGTTATTCCATATGAAAACAATTTCTAACTATAAGTTGCCAAATTTGAAACTTCTCTAACATATGAACAAATTTCTTTTCTTATTTTCAGACATATAATTGGTACATAACATTGGCAATCTATTTTGTTGCAACATCAAAAGAAATCATGAACCCAAAATTTAGTTGACAAAAAATTAAAGCAATGAATCTTTTAAGTCAAATTCCACAAAAAAATGATTAACACGATATTCAATAAGGTATTTGCTAGTCACTTAAATTTATTTGTTCACATATTTTGAAAGAAAATATTAATTTATTTTTTTGATAAATTATTTATATTAGTTTGAGCTTACATTTTGTTCATGGAACGATCTTGTATTAAAAGTCAAGTACTTTTAAGTACAAAGTACGTAAAGATTCTATTTATAATTCGATCTAAGTTTGTTGTCTACGTTGATAAATAAAGATGAACATTTTATCTCAATAAGAATGTTTTAATTTTATTGAAGTTCATCCTTAAGTAAGTTTGATAGTAAAATTGAGCAACTACGCGAAATTTAATTTGTGGTATTGACCACATGATTTTAATTTCACATGGTTGTTTATATGTAGTACTTTAATCCAAAATGCTCAATTCTAAGTTATTAATAGATTTTGATTACTAACTTCAAGATCTCAATGGGTGAGATCAATATCTCCGTATCTCGGGAATTAAAGTGAAATAATCGAAAACTATATATATTCATGATATAGAATCTATAACCTAGGCACGATCACAATTTCAAAAAGATTTTTTTGTGGAAAGTTAAATTTGTGGCCAGTGATTCGACATTGACTGTTGAATTAGTATTGAGATTTGAGGTGTATTTGAAAATTTATTTTTTGTTTCTTTACATTGTTCCGAATATTGGCCAAATTACGAGAGGAATTAGTGGCGTCTAATGAGTATTAAGAATTGAGGTTCCATCTTAAAAGGTCAACCTTATTAAGAGGAGTAGCCCAGGAGGGATATATATCCCTTAACAATGAGTTCCAGCACAAACTTGAAAGAAAGGCAAATTGACACATCTCGTTCTTTTAGTAGAATAGAATGAGAATAATAAATTATCTATTAATCAAGAGTTGATGCGGTCTAAATGAATTTATAGTTTAATTGGTAAAATTGGTAAATTTATAAGAGCATCAAAAGGTTATGCCATTGTATGGAGAAAATGAGTTCAATATAAATATGCAAAAACCAAAACAAAGAAAGGTAATTTTTATGTTAACCAAACATGCTCTCTTCACAATGCTAAACATGATGGTACACGTGGCTTACTTTCATTCGCTAACCAATGATATTGCGGCATCTATAATACTGACCAGGTTTCATCATCACCTCCTAGTACCCTGCATACGCGGATAATTTTATGATACAACTTACATCTACGGCTAGTTTTACATTTTGTACTATGAGCCCACGTGGAATTTCCCTATTGGTTGTTCCCAAGATACAGTGAGAAAAAGACGGAAATGTCCTTGCCTTCATCCCTCAAATCTAGCAATTTTGATGGGGAAGAACCCCATATATTTCTGTATAATAATTAATAAGGAGAGCCGGACCAACAATGAGAGCCGAGCGTGAATTCTGGCCAAGGCATTGGCGCATCTTGAGGAATCCCGCGGCAGCGAGGATGGAATTCCATGGATCATCCTTCTGCCTTACATATATCATAGAATTCTCGAAGATAGAAGAAAGACCACCCAGAGGGCACAACGGGTTGCATTCACGCGTACAGCTTGCGAGCCCCGGATGAGGTGCTCTCCTTTAGGGGAGTTGTACATGCCTCTCGACATGTAAAAATCCAACGATTCCAAAGCAGAAAAATCGCCAATGTGATCGCGTGGAGCAAGGAATGAAGGGTACGCTACTGGGTTGGACAGTGGTTACAGAAGCTGGGCTTGGGCAATGGGCTGTAGCTCCGCCAAGGGACTGATCCACCAGGCCGGTGATGGAACCATGGTTAGTCACATACCATTCTTGATAAATGTCGGAAGAAAATTACAATTTACCCTCTGTCGATTCTAACTTTTTTTTGTTCCATGACTTATTTTTGAAAAACAAGCCCTATAAATAATTAAGAAAACATGGCAGTCTTATGTAAATAACGCAATAAAACAACATAAAACAGCATGCATAAAACAATACCATGCATGCTATATCCCTCTCTATATATAGCACACACATATTACAATCATTTCATCTCCTTCAAAATCTCCCTCCCAAAAAAATCGAAGGTGAACTTTCTTCTTCTTCTTCTTCTCTAACTCCTGTAAAAAACGCTATTAAAATGAATTTGATCATCCTTATCTAATTAATGCAGAGAATTGAGAATCAAACATGTTTCAACTGGTATGTTACTGATTTCAAACAGAGTAACCTTTTTTTTATGCGGATCTACATTATTGTTCTACTTGATGTTTTCTACTGAAAGCTTCATCCGAGTTTAATACAAGGATCATTATGTATAATCCTGGCTGACTTTTTAAATCAATACAATGTTTCTTTCGGTGTTGTGAATTCTGTAGCCAGTTGGATTAGTTTTTGGTATTTTTCTGATTTGAGCATGTAGAGCAATTTATTCTGTGCAGGTTAAGAGCAAGCTCAAGCATGTAAGCTTGGTGGCTCAAGTTGGTAATCCACCTTTCTCATTGCCAACATTTTATTTTCATAGAAAAGAAATAGACTAGTGATGATAATAACATTGTAGTTGATGAAGGTACCAGTCTAGCTGCAAAAGCCATTTGAGGGAGTTCTTTACTTATGAGCTTAGAGAAAATTCTGATACACAATTTATAACTTGTGAGCTTGCAGAAAATTCTGATATACGTTTCTTTTCCAATGCAGGTGATACTCAGGACACAAAAGATGTCAACACTCTGATATACCACAATTATTTTACTGAAATCAGTCATAGAAGGCTTCCGAATATAAAAAATGGGGAAAAGATATTCTTTAGAGTGCTCGAGATTCTGAGAGGTGTGTACGACTTCTATCCTGGAAGTACTAAGAGCCGCAAACCCGACACTCCAACTAAAGAATTTGAAGTGCCGGATGCTGTGGAATTTATTGTCCTGACATTGCCATGAGGCACTGTCTTGACAAAATCAACATCACCCTTTGTTTGTTAATCATAGAAAGGCAAATAAAAATACAGAATATTAGAATCCTTCTTTGCTTCTTCAATCTCATGCACATTGTTTGTTAATCATTACAACATCACCCTTTGTTTGTTAATCATAGAAAGGCAAATAAAAATACAGAATATTAGAATCCTTCTTTGCTTCTTCAATCTCATGCACATTGTTTGTTAATCATTATTCCATAAATATAGGTTATACTAAAATACTTTTATAACTATACTGTCGAACTATTAATTTGATTTGAGGTGATCCGTCTGCACAAGCTGGACTATTTGCAGGCATGGCAACTGGAAACTTGACATCTTCTATCTCAAACAAATTCTCATTCGGTTCCTGCTGTTGGACCTAGAACTAGCAGATTGTCTTTTTAGACATCTGAATGAAAAGCACAGAGATAGTGTAAAGTATAATCGTACTGTATTCTTATTCCCAGTTGAGATAAGGGTAAGCCTGATGATGACGACAAATTTAAACAATGATAACATTTTAGACACCGCCATTCAAGACAGCAAAATAAGATAAGCAAGATCAACATCAATCATATAACCACAATGATCCAGATCATGTACTTCAAGATCGACTTGATTCATTTGCAAATTAAGTCTTTTGCTTTCCCCCGCCTCTTTTTGAGCAACTTGTTGACATATTGTTAAAGGGCCCAAAGCTACAAAATACACAAGTTATATTAAGTTTATTACTAAAAACAAGGCCTAATAAATCAGAGGGCAATAGGATGTACATTGACTTCTAGCGTTACACCTCCGGTTCGCATTCCTTTACTCCAAGAATGCATAACATATAGTTAGCGAGAGATGCAAGATCAATTAAATGGCAGAAAAAATTAATTAAGTATCAGCTATTGCACCTGCAACTGATTGTTTGAAATGTTCTCTTCTTCCTGCCCCTACAGAAGTTAGAAGGACAAACAAGAACTCAAAATTATGAATTGTTCAATTCTGAGGTCCCATCAGGATGCACAAATAGGCATTCATTCCAATAACATGGCAGAGGAATACAGTATAAATGTGATTCCGATTTGTCTAATGCATAAATGGGGTTATGAGTGAGAATTCTCCAATAAATGTTTGACGTGTAAACATGTAAAGCAGGGCATTTCTGAACTGTACATGTGAAGATTCCTCAAAATTACTTCACGAGAAAAAGAAAACTTATATCTACGAAGCTAGAAATTTACTAAAAGATGTTCAACAAATATTTACTTTGACTAGGCAGGCTCAACAAAATGAGCTACGAGAACATATGCCAGTGCATTTTCTGGATGAGAACACGAGAGCCAATAACAGATGGGATTTAGGTGGAAAATAATAAATATTCAATCCTCAAATATACAAACAACATCTTAATAGCCCTAAAAGAAAAACAGCCAAATATAAATTGTGTTTCAATCACAGAATGGAGAAAGCATTTCAAATAATATTTCATTGTACTATTGACTGAAAAAATGAACTTACCTTGAGTTCAAGATTCTTTGTTCTAAGAAGTGCTTCCTTACACCCAATCTCGTGCTGTAACGCTTTTAACTGTGATGAGCAATAATGAATTAACTACAAATGGAAAGAAACGTATATCAGAATGATTGGAGACTTGGGCTGTGGCAAGGAATTAATGTCTGAAAGCCCCCTTCGCTGTCCATAACTCCTTCGAATTGGTTGCCCCCGTGACCCTCATTGCAATGTCAGGGGTCATGGAAGAATAGAGCCAGGTCTATCGACATCCATTGACCAAATTCATGATTCTTCACCATTTCAATGCTGGTGCCAGTTTCACCTATAACTTGACTGCCCATAAATTCTTGGGGACACACCTTTGTCCCTAAGATATAACCCTCAAGGTTATGTCCTCATATAATAGGTAGTATCATATTCTTCCAAAGTAAGAAGTTGTTTTTGTCCAGCTTGACTGAAACAACTTGAGTGGGGTTAACTCCAAAAGGTGTAATGCTGTCGTTTCTTATCAGAGGAGTAGCAGTGCTACTGGAGACTGAGACTGGTGCTGGAATATGATCAGCATTCTGGGGTGAATTGAAGTTATTAGCGTTTGCCATTTCTTTGCTCTGATACCAAGTTAGAATTCAAGGAGGATAGAATATGTAATCAACCGTATACATTGCTTAATGCTGAAAGGTTAAATAATACAATGGCATATACAAGGAATGATCTAGAAGGATAGCTGTTAATTGGTTTCTAAAATCGTGGATCTTGTCTAGAATAATTTACAAAAACTTAGTGCTAGCACTACACTAAAACCGCAAGAATAAAGCTGCTGATGAATTGCTCCAGCTGGCTCATGACTTGGCAGATTTTCAGCTGATGTGTAGATAGTTAAGGATAAGGTAGTTAAGTTAGTTACTTCAGTTAACATTATGAATCCTAGAATATACATTTAATTTCTATTATTATTGAATTTTTGTTAATTTGCCAACGAAGTACTGTTTTAATATGCTTAAATATAGCATTCCTTGTATTTTTATGAGCTGTTATGATTTCGAATGATAATTATTGCTCAATTTAGGTTCCTTCGGACTCATCAGTGGAAGATTTTAGTTTGATGAATAAATGATGGATGCTTGTGATACTTTCTGTACGAATTCACTAAATGCGGTTTAGGCATAAATGTAATTATAGTTGTTATTCAAATTAGCATTTTACAAATGTGTCCATTTCTGATAAGTTGGTGTTTCATTTTTCTATATTTGAAACTCACTTTTGTCTCTTATTTTTATCTTTGGTTGATTTTGGCACGATCCTCATTGACTACAAACGTTCTAGCTTCTGTTCAATTCTACAATTTTTTATACTATTCTTTTGTTTAAATAGTTTTTTCCTTCTTCAAGGTTATGTATTTTTTAGGTTTTAAGTAATAACAGTTTAATTCTTCTTTCACTCATAAATAAACACATTCATTAAACAGCCAAGAAAATACAATAATATGATGAAAATAAATATGAATATAAACTTTTTCAAATATCTGATATTTATTTTCCTTTATCATTAGTGCTATGTGGTAGTGATGTCAATGGGCCGGCTCGGCCCTTAAAGCCACGAGCTCGGTTCGTGGAGAAACGAGCCACGAGTTCACAAGCTAAGCAGGCTCATGGCTCGTTTGCTCGTGGACAAGCTCGGCTCAGCTCATGAGTTCGCGAGCTCACGAGCCGAGCCGGCTCGTGGCTCGTTAAATTTTTTTTTTTTTAGCTTCTCTTAGATTTTTTTTTAATTTTTTTAATGGTTTTTCACAAGCCCATGAGCTCGGCTCGTGGGCGGGTGCCCACGAGCGCTCGTCTCCTTAACTAGCCGAGCTCGGGCTTGGCTCGTCTAGCGAGCGGCCCGCTTGGCTCGTGCTCAAAAAGACAAGCCCGAGCGGCTCGTGGGTCGCTACAGTACGAGCCGCTCGGCTCGATTGCCACCACTACTCTGTGGTTGAATCTTATGTTGTTATGTTCATCTTTCTGTAGTAATTTGTTTATGTTTATCATTATCGTAATTTTTTTAATTCCTAACTATATTTATTTATCCGAAATGTTAACTTCTCTATTTTGTCTTGTTTTCTTTTTTTAGTGCACATTGAAATTGTTACTCAAAAATTTATCTTCTACCATTTCTCAAAGGTAAGTAAATATATTATCCTTCTTCAGAGAATGTGTTCGTATGCATATTTCAAGTTGTTTATCACTAAATATATTTTACATTTCGATTTAACAAAATATGTTCTTTGTAGTGCCATTTAGTTACACGATGCTTCTTCCTTATTGAAGGGAATAGTTGGCACAATAATGCAACAACCCAATGGGCTGAAATTGTTGGCCCAATTAGCTGAATAAATTGGTTTTATTATTTGGTGCAAAATCGTGTGATGATTGAATGAAGAAGTCGTGTTTCTACTTACCCTGTTTTTTGGACGGCCAGGATGTAGCCAAGAGCAATCACCACAGCCGTTGGATGAAGGGCACTTCTGGAGACTCCTATAAAAGGCTCGTCTAGGGTTTGAACAGTTGACCGACTCTCTGATTTCCTTCTCTCTCGATGGTTCTGCGCCGTTCGAGTCTCTTCTCTCAATATTCTGTTGAAATCAAAATTACTCTTTTGATTTCTTTGTTCTCTCGAAAAGATTTGTAATCTTGTGTGATTCTTCTTTTAGTTGAGAGTGTTGTTCTTGAGTGAACTGCTGTGGTTTGAGGATTGAGATCTTGTGTGAAAAATGGGTTTAGTCTGAGTGCTTAAACACTTTGTAATCCATACCTTGGTTGTGATTTACACTAGATCAGTGGTTGTTCGTCTGTAATCTGAGCAAGTTGTACTGATTTCTTGGCTTGAGTGCTTCGAACATAAAGATAAGTTTTATGTAGTTCTTTTTCAGATTTTTGAGTTCATGCTTTACAGATTCTTGAAGTTTATATTTCAGTTTTGTTTCTTATTTCTTGCACATAATCTTGGGGTTTATTTGTGAGCTAATCTGTCGTCTCCTCCCAACACTTATAACATCTTTGTATTTGTTAAATAACTTATAAATTTTTATTACAAAATTAATGACTGATTTTGTTTTACAACAGTTGTATTAACTATATCTAATTGTCTTCTCTGCAGATTTCCGCAAAACTTCTTATAATAAATACAAACACAAAATAAAGAGTTCAATTTATGTTTTATCAATGATATTTAATTTGAGACATTAATGTTTTAACTTATAGGGGGTGTTTGACACCCATTTTAGTAGAAAAATGTGTTTTTGAATAGTGATTGATGGAAGAATGTGTGGTTAAAAAGTAAGGAGAATTTTAGGGTTTATGATTTCGTACTGCTTTATACTATTTTAGATTAGTTATGTCTATGATTTTTACCCTTTTTTAGATTAATTTCGTTTGCACGTTCATAAAACTTTGCAATTTCCAATTTTGTGTTATGTTCTGTAGTTTTTAATTTGAGTTAGTT